GTGCCACCTGCACGCAAGGAAGCTGCCCCGTTACCTGCCGTCTTCAGAGCGTCGGTCGGTTGGGAAACACAAGGTGAGCGTTGCTGCTCCGCGTTACTGCTGCTTCTGGTGGTTAAAACAGCCAGTGAAGAAGTAAGTCACCTGGGCTGTCCACTTGGGAAAATAAACCCATGAGATAGTGCGAATGTATTTTCGGCTTGTGTTTTTTGGCTTATATTTTGCATGAAGAGTGGCAGAAGAGCTGCCTGGAGTGGTGCAGTCTTCTTTCCAGGGCTGTGCTGGTGGAGATGGTGCTGGTAGGAATGGGGCTGGGAAAACCGCGGTGTCCCTGAGCAGGGCTGAGCACCGTCTCGGGGCTCCAGGAAGGTTGTTCCTGGGGAGGCCTCCGTCCCCATCTCTCCTTCCCTTGTCCTCTGTTCTCTAATAGCCGAGACAGGGTTTATCCACGTCTGCCACAGCCCCGGGTCGTGTATCTCTGCTCCCCCCGCGTCCCGCTGCACAAGGGAATATTCTAGATCCTATTCAAGATTAAGGGAGATTTGGGGTTATTCCAGGAGGAATTGCACCTCTTTTCCACCTGTTTTCTCCAAATCTTCTTCTGACAAAAGGTCTACAGATGTTTTTTGAAAAATTAAAATACTACCTGGGTGGGTGACTCAGCAGGAGAAAGAAGAGAACGGTGGGGTTGAGAGTAAAGGGTCCTGCAGTTCCATAAAATGTCTTGGTGATATTTATGAGTGCAGGTATGTGTGCAAAGGTTGAACTTGTAATTGAACTTGGATTAAACATATAAATCAAAAGTTTGAGTTGTTCTTTGAAGGCACAGAAGGGTGTATTTTTTCCTGCTGTATTTTAGAAGTATCTAACTCATTTTTCTCCAGAGCACTAGTGCACTGCTGTGTGCATGTCCTACAGAGACTGAAACCCTTTGAATACCAAGAGCTGTCTGCACTCACGAGTGTTCAGTACACTCAGGTGTCAATTCAATAGCGCCTGGCCTGTTTGATTAGTTGATTGCTTCTCCCGTTGTACAAGAATTTCACCTCCCGTGTCTCTGCTTTATAATGTTTATAACCACTATTAAATTGTAGTTCAGGTAATACTGAGGATAACTTAGGTCTCCTGGAAGTTGTTTCAGTGCAGAAAGAGTAGGTGACTGTTTTCCTTGGGACTTCTGCGTTTCTGAGATTCTGTGCTTTGAAAGTGTACTGATAAACTCCCCGGCAGGAGCTTTTTGGTGAGAAGTCTTCCGAGACTGAATGTTTGCTAATTTTTTGGGGGCTGGTGGAGAGAAACCGAGTTAAAGTCTAATCCCGCAGAGCTTCCTCTCGGCAAATCGTTTGTGAAAATTGTTAATTTTACTGTAATTGATTTAAACGTTGCTCAGGAGGAGGAAAAATGAGAGGAAACGAATGCCACTTTGAATGCTGAGGGTTGCGATGTGCTCTCAATTTTCTGTTCTATTATCTCATGTGCCCGTCCTCCGCTGGCTGTTTTGCACGTACTGGTGAGTGGTCGCACAGCGAGCCCCAGCACAGCGGTCCTGTTGTGTAGCTGTGCTACAAGCCTTGCAAACCTGAAAGCTCTGCCCCCATCTTGAGACGTGATACAAGAGGCTGCGAAGATTTCTGCTCTGGCTCAGCACGTGATCCAGCAATTCACATCTGGCCAGGTGGCCCCATCAACAAAGCACAGACACATCAGGCTTTGGAAGGGAGCCATAGAATAACACAGAGCTCAGCTCTCGAGTCGAGCCGTGGTTGCAGGCTGAT